TGGGAAAGATCCAATTTTTGCCCTAAGCAATGCCAGATTAAGAAAATAACAATTACTCAGTAACTTGGTACGTTCAAGAACTGCTATGGGAAAGGCCTAAATTATACCAATGGTTCAGGTATACATATTCTTTGTGGATGCAGTAATTAGTATTATACTATCTAAAACAGGAGCCTCAAATCACAAGTCGACCAGTTTAATATAAAGAAAAACCATAAACTTAAAAGGAGTGATTCTAATTCAGGAGTTTTGTTATATATTCCCCTTAAATAGTGTCAACTATTATAAGATTTCTTATTAAAAATCTGCTTTCCCCTCTAAGGCAGCTGCACTTAACCAGACAGGTCTGCTTTTGTAAAGCCTCTCTTTCTCCTCATAGAAACATATTTAAAGAGTAATACAATCAAATACTAAATAGTATCTGTTCAAGAAAGGAAATATACCAGTCTAAAACAATTAAGGAATTAGACCACTCTTCTGTTAGCAAGTATTCCTATTCCTTCTGAGGCCCCATTTCATGACATTTCACTATGTTTTCTTCTGTTGGGCTTATCTGCCACCTTTCCCCTTCTCCAACTCCTGCAGTTTTAAAAAAGAAAAAGTCAAGATCCTCTTATACTCCCCTATATATTCTTCTATCAGGAAAGAGGCTCACTTTAGTTTCTTTAACATCTGATGGGTGGGGCTTGTTCTTTGTTACTGGAGGACACTAGAGACTAGGACTGCTTCCAATCTCTTCTGGTACAGAGAAAGACTAAACTCCAATCCAAATTACTAAATACCAGGTCCATAAACACAGTAACAAGTTTTACTATTTCCAAATTAGTGTTGTAAGAATTCCCCTCAGTAATAGTACGCTCTCAAAGGCTTAGATAGGGACAAGATGGTGGGTAGTGTGTGATTCAGATTAATTATAAAGCTGGAAGGGCAAAATCACCTCCACAATCAAATGGACTAGAAAAAAAAAAAAAGGAGCTTCTATTTCTAAAGACTAAATGCACTACGACTTTCATTCAACAGAGCTCTAAATTCTTTTAACAACAGCAAAGTTAAGAGTGACAGTATTAAATACTCCTGTTTCCTGACATACATTTGCATAATCCTTTCATTTAAACTTCAAGAAATAGTAAAAATAAATAACCAACCTCATTTATGTGTGTGTCTGTATACACACACACGCACACACGCACGAGCGCGCGCACACACACGGAGTCCTGGTGGCACAGTGGTTAAGAGCTCGGCTGCTAACCAGAAGGTTGGCAGTTCGAATCCACCAGCCACTCCTTGGAAACCCCATGGGGGCAATTCCACTTTGTCCAACAGGATCGCTATGAGTCAGAATCAACTCTGGGGCAAAGGGTTTTGGTTTATAGGTACATATATATGTACGTATATATATATGCAGAAACCCTGGTGGCATAGTGGTTAAGTGTTTGACTGCTAACCAAAAGGTCGGCAGTTCGAATCCACCAGGCACTCCTTGGAAACTCATATGGGGCAGCTCTGCTTTGTCCTATAAAGTCGCTATGAGTCAGAATCGACTCGATGGCAATGGGTTTTCAGGTACGTATATTTATATATGCATAAATTTGTTTAAGCAACATTTATATTTATAACACATACCAGGACATACCACTTAACATTCGCAATTTGTAATACTTTATCAGTAGTCATTAGCAAACCACACAAATAAAACCATTAACAAGATATAAAGATATGTGCCTCTGAGGAATTCTTACAATCAGGTTTTCAACAGTCTCTTTCGGCTGCAGTGGACAGTCCACAATTGCAGCCATTCACTGATTTCCTGGAATACGGCCTCCAGAGTTCACACTGGTCAGCTATCTATGGAAAACGATCTGTACTCGGTTCCTTTTCCAAAAAGGCCAGTAATATTTTGCACCTCCCTCATTTACAGAAAAGGAGTGTGTTAATGTGTAGGTAGTTTAAACAAAGTTTGTAATGTTCACAATGTGACTACACATTTTTCTAGGAACCATATTTTCAACCATCATTATATAATCCAGTTTACACAAAATAAATTTGAAGGGTCTTAATGACTGACCATAAGCCATTCTACTCGGAAAGGCTAGAATGATACACAAGCCATATGATCACTAATGAGACAGGGTCAACAGCAATGCTAACTGAGAACTTTAAGCCATTTTCTTACTTTGTATCATACAACCACCGGCCCTTTTAAAGGTTTGATAATATTATTAAGACCTATAAATATAAGGCCTGGTTCATTAATATAGATGGTTTCAAAAACGAGCCAGCATATACAGCTTGTATTAGGTAACAAGCAAAACCACAAGACAGTTTTCTAGATCAACTTCAACAACCTCAATATCTTTGTTAATCTCCCATTTTCCTTCCTTTCTTCCTTCTCAAATAGACTATTTTCACCCACATTTAAAAAAAAATTTTTTTTAAGCAAACATATTATTTACAAACATTTCCTTAGGATTTGAAATTTGTTAGCATATTTCTATGCCATAAATAACTCTCATGAATGACTGTATCGTTTACATGAGACCATTCTAGCCATTCTGAAGAGAAAGGCTTAAGGTCACCTCAACTTTTTTGTTTTACATTTGAATGACTGCAATTAAAACTGTATGTAGACTTTAGTTTGAGATGGCAATTCAAAATCACCACATTAAAATTAAGATTTTGTCAGACAGTACTGTCTCTTCAAAAGTACTCACCTCTGTAATTAAACACGGCTAGAAAAACTGTCATTTAACTGTAAGCATAAAACTTCAAAATCCCCTTTTCTTTTATAAAGGCTTTCCATTTTTAAAAAAGACTACTGTTTCTACTTAATGGATTTATTCTTCACCAGGTGTGTTGGTCTAATGACAAAACAGTCAAATGCGTAAGATTACATCTTAGAAACTAGCATGTTAAGTGAAAAACTATCAATCACAATAGAAATTAGAAGCCATACTTGATATAGAAGATGCAAATTTTAAAAGCCTGCAGGAGGAGGGTCAAGGGACTCTATACACATCAAAACCCCTGCTCTGAAATAATGGTTGCAATTGGTATGAACACTGCTACAGTAGTATCTGTAGTTCAAACATTCACATGCTTGGAAATGAGATTCTTAACTCTTTTTAATAAAGAAAAGAAATAAATGCATTTTTGAAGCTCCTAAAGAATATATCCCAGAGTTTCCATTTGTCAACCATCTCTATGCTGCATGCCACATCATCATAGTAAAGTTCTGGGAAATGTAACTTACATACGCTGTAAACTGAGAGAGGTGTGAAGAGGAGGGAAACTGTAGTCTTCATTCATGGGCGGTTATGGTTATGTACGTTGGGGTGGGGGAGGAAGAGGTTGGGAAACCAGCTATCATTTCTTGATGAGAGATGGGGGCAGAGTACAGGAGCAGAGATAGGCAAATGGTTATTTACCAAACCATCAGAAGAAATTGGTTTCTGGCAGCTAGAAAAGGGAAGTTTGCCAGCTGATTATTACCAAAGGTGATAAAATAACCCAACTCTACATTCTGGGCACGCCCCTGTGTGTGAAGAGTGAAATATGGAAGCAACTATAAAAGAAATGAGAAGTTTTTCTGAGCAGCTTGTGGAAAAAATTTCTTTACTTGGTAGTCCCATCCATATAAAATTTCTCAGTGACTAGCTAGCTGAGCTCACTTATGGACTTGTGGTATCTCTAAAAGTTCTCAAATGGAAGAAAGACTCCCCAAAAGCAAGTCACCTATAAAAAAAAGATGAACTCTGAATTACAAAAAGCAGAGAAGGTGAATTTTAGTTAGCATTTGCAAACCAACAGAAGTATGTAATAAAAATTCAAGGCTAATTAGAAACGGAAAGAAAAGCATGTAAAGGAACTCAGAAGAAACACAGAAAAACCTTGAACAGATCTCACTGTATTCTTCCACATACCACTTATTCTAGAAATCCATAAAAATAGTTTTGACCCTTTAACACATTGAAAATTAATCTCTCAAAACAAAAACCCCAGCAAATAAATGTCTGTCAAGTGCCTAAAACTTTCTCTGTAATTTTTAAATTCTACAGCTTTGCAACAACTCAGTTTTAAAAATCTGTTATTATATAGTCTGCCAAATTTTCATGTGCTATTTCCTCAAAGCCAGTAAAAATCCTCATTAAACCATAACCGAACATCAACTGTTGTGGAATCGATGTGACAACACACAAATTTTCACTTAAACCACAGCCAATTGTTGGCATTTACACTTTTACTCTAAAATTACTCTAATTTCAAAAACTACAGCTCTTCCTATTGTTAAGAGGCTATGCCACACCTCCCTCTCCTACAGCAAAGAGAATAATGGAAGATCAGAACACTTTTTGCTTAAAAAACCAAACCAACAAACCCTAGCATCCTGGAGAAGTCCCTGAGGCCTCCTGGCCTCCTACTCCCTTTTCTGAAAAGGCTTAAAAGGAAGAACGCTCTTCAAAGCTGGACTTGACATTTCATCATTCTCTCGCCAGCCTTTCCAGATACACTGTAGAAGGCTCCTTATGTGGATCTTTTCCTACTAGAGCTGCTTCTGGCTTCCCAGAATGGGAAACTTTTCTAAATAACTTCATCTTTCAGCCTGAAACTCACACTGACAAAAATGCCACCGCTGTTCCAGTCTGACCGGTATCTAAGAAAGGGACAATTCTACGGGACATAACCTACTAGCTCCCACCTCCACATTCGGAGGACGGAGCTAAGAACCACCTTTCTGAAGCAGCAATGCTGCACCTCCGCCCATCTGAGCGCCTGTAAACGACTGACACCAGACCACGCGCCCGTTACACAGCTTAAAGTGGGCCATCTAAAACTCATCTCCTTCCCAGGAACTGCAGAGGCAACTTTACTAAACACAAACTATTTTGTATTAAAAAAAGCTCGGGGCTCCCACTGCAAAAAGACATCTGCCCAAGTCGAGAGCTAAGCGGCAGTGTTTGGCAAGCATTTCTAGCAAACACGGAAAAGAAAGCGCTCCATACCTGTCCTCGTCACCATCCACGGGAATCGCTATGCTGAACACAGAGGTGGCCAGGCTGTTCATAGGTGCCAACTGGAGGGGGTTCGCCAGGGCGTCGGGCCCGGCGGCCTTCACCGCAGGCTTGGTTTCAGCAATGAGAGAGAGTGGCGCTTGAGGTAGGGGTTCGGATTTTCGTCT